AGGTCCAAGTTGAAAACGAATCCCCCACTAGGCAAAAACATGGACTCCTGCATACTTCCTCTGTACCCCATTAAAAACCCCTTTGGCCTCAATAGCCTGGAGTTTTACAGTGGAGCCATTTCATGCTTCATAACATGTTCTGCACTAGGCAGTATAGGAAATACAAAGGCACAAGCCCATGCTCTCTGCATTGAGGAACACAAACTCGTGCATAGAAGGCAAGATTGGAGTGTACTTGGAAACACACATGCATGTACATGTACCCACACCCAGGCCCACGCCTTGAAACTAATACATGCAGTGTGTAGAAAAGTGAAAAAATATATGATACTGATGATAGTTTATTGGGGAGAAAAAACTGGGGTAATTTACAAGTCAGGAAAGACTTCACGGAGAAAATCTCACTTGGATAATGCTTCGGAGGTCAGAGCAGACTTGAAGAGATAGCTGAAGTTGTGGCTAGCCAAAGGAAAGGTTGTGATTTTGAGTTGAGTCCTAATATCAACTTAGTTTAAAAACTCCTACGATCCTTTGTCATAACGTAGGCCACATGTGTACACAGAGAATTCTTCTTGTTTTAATTGCTTATTTTGGCCCTATACAGTTCCAGCCTTTATCTTTTTGGCTGTTATTTTGATGATACATATTTAAACAAGTTTTTAGTATTGCATTTGTGGAAATCTAACCAAACAGAGGCATGTATTTTAAAACTAATGTCCTTGTGTGGAAAATCTCTAAAGCTTTTTAAAAGCCTCAAAAATATCTCTTGTTTAAAACTCATCAGGTAGGCAATTCTATGACCATTTTCTAGGTGAACCCATAAGGGTGCCGTTCTCTTGGTTTATTAACGGATATATTTGTTAGACGCCTTTATTATAAATCCAGTCATTCTGCAAATATTTCTCTAATGCTTTTAAAATAAATAAAACCCAAACTTTGCCTTTAAGCAGCAATAAAATCAGGAATGCATCAAAGCAAGAAATTCAAAGTCCAGCTTGATGTGGTGGTGAGAGAGCTCCACTGTTCAAAGGCTTTGGAAAATGATCCTGGAAAGGTGTAATATTTATATGTCAAGTCTATCTTACCGCAGTTTTAGATAATATTTGAAAAAGAAATATTTCCAGCCGGTGGCTATTGATTTTTGGGAATGTGTTCATTGACTTTATTTGTTCCTTGGATTTATCAATATTTTCTGCATCATACTTAGGTCACTTTTAAAAGGGAAAATATCTCAAACATTTGTTTTATTGGAACAGAAACAAAACAAACACAGTTCATATAATTCACTTAAATTGAAGTATTCTACTTGTAAAGAAAGTCTAAAAGTCGTACTTTGTACTTTGTGATTTTGACACAACAGCCTGATCTTACTTGGCCAAATGCCGTTAACAAAAACAGCCAAGAAGAGCAGGGTTAAGGGTGAGCTTGCTACTCACCGAATCTAGAAATGACGACTAATTCATCACGCTGGAGGAATCCCACAAGTCTATCTCATGAGTTTATTTTACCCGTTTAGTACTGAGTTCCACGTCAGTTTCTTCTTCCTTTCTCATGGATGCAAAACTGTAAATGAGTCATGGTAGGACGCTTCCTCTGAGAATTAAGGCCAAGTATATCCTTATGTTTTCCTTCTGAAGTTCACAAAGCTTTTAGCTAAGATACTTTTACTGAATAAACTACTTTTCATTGACTCGAAGACATTTAAAAAACACATTCTTTCTAGAAAGCATCTGGTGTATTACTGTCTGCATCTAATAACTGAATATAAAGGTAGGAATAAAGTAAAGACAAATTTAACTATCTTTTCTTTCTTTTCCTCCCACAGTTAAATCATTACATAAAGAGAATATGTAATAATCTCACCTAGATTACTTTTAGCAAACTAAAATACTGACTTTGGGCACTGATGAGCTTTCAAACAAAAATACTTTTTCTATAATTTGCCATTATGTTTCATTATAGTTTGTTATATCCTGAAACAAATGGAACAAAAATGTTGGTCTAAAACTTAAGTTCTTGATGTGGAGCCCATTGAAATTGGCTAGTATAATTATAATAGTGGTCCACTTTATGCTTTGAATACCGCCCTTGCTGTTCTGCCACTGCAACTTATTTTTTTTTATTTTTTTTATTAGTTGCTCAAGACAATACAATGATCTTGACATGTCATACATTTGATTCAAATGGGTACGTAATCTTATTTTTCCTCGTGTACAGGTTGCAGGATCACATTGGTTATATAGCCACACTGCACTTATTTTTAAAGTGGACATGTTTCTTTCTCTTCCTCTCTCCCTGTTCCTCCCTACTCTCTCCCTCCCTCCGTAATCTCAAGGGAAACAGATTACCTTTCTTTCCCATCCTAGGCAGAGTTATCTGTCCTGGAGCGCACAAGCATCACAGGAACAAAGTAATCCAGACTTTGGGTGATGGCATTAAAAGATCTCAGAAATGACTATCTCCCAGATTAACAAGTAAATTACAATTCCAACAGAAAACACATGGAATGTAGCCTTTGAATCACCTCTTTAAAAACACCCTGTTTCTGCTGATGGGCAGAATCACAGCCTTTGGGATAGGAGTCCGGTGTGTTTCTCCTTTGCTAGCAAAGCAATAAAACTTTTTTTTTTTTCCTTTTTTCTCAAAACCGTGTCCTCATTATTGGATTGGCATCAGGGACAAGAACCAAGCTTTCAGCAACATAATCAGTTACTTAAAAATATACTTGTCATATCTTTTTTTTTTCCCAACCAGAAAATAAGTATATTGATGGGCCCATTCTTTGCAACATTTCAGAAAAATACCTGTTTTTGGGGCTGGGGATGTGGCTCAAGCGATAGCGCGCTCCCCTGGCATGGGTGCGGCCAGGGTTCGATCCTCAGCACCACATACAAACAAAGATGTTGTGTCCGCCGAAAACTAAAATGTAAATAAAATATTAAAAAAAAAATACCTGTGTCTGTTTAATATTCAGTGCATACTAGTTAACTGATTTATAGCAACATACTCTAAAGACAATAATTAATGAGAGTTAATAGCAAATGTTTATGTGACAATTACCAAATGAAATGAAATTACAAATTTTGTGATAATTATTTGAGTATTGGCTACCAAGCTATATGGCTATAGATTATAAAATGGAGCCAGGTACAGTGGCACAAGCCTGTAATCCCAGTGGCTCAGGAGGCTGAGGCAGGAGAATCGTGAGTTCAAAGCCAGCTTCAGCAACTTAGGGAGACCCTATCTCTAACTAAAATATAAAAGTAGGGCTGGAGATGTGGCTCAATGGTCAGGCACCAATGGGTTTAACACCCCCCCCCCCCAAAAAAAAAAGATAGAGTGTAACAATGTAACAAGGAGTCAGATTCTTTACTTTTGTCTGCAAATGTCCCATAGTGGATAAAAGTGGAATTAAAGGTTTGGCATCTTTGCTTCCATTTGCATTCATCTCCTTTGCTCTGAGTCACCTTGGATTCCAGAAACAAGGTCTGATCGAATAAACATCTTGTGATGAGTTGAATCTCACACCCCCACCCCCACCCCGCAACAGCAACTTTCTTATCAGGGACAAGGCCCTCACCTGACCAATCCTGAGATAACAATGGGCAGAACACAGCTGATCAAGATCACCTACTTTGGCAGCTGTGAAAACCCCCCAGCTATGCAGACTCCCAACTCTGGCACTCATTCACCTTTCTGGAAAACCTCAGGCTCATTGTCAATCCCTCCAAGACAGGGATAGGACATGGGTCCCTTTGTCTTCCCAGTGAAGCTACACTGATTTAAAATTCCTTTTTATGCTTTTCACCTTTTCTGTTTTTTTTTTTTTTTTTTGGAGTGGATAGACTTGGTGTGTTGGATCCCCAGAGTCAGACCTCAGATCTAGGACTCTGGTAACAACAATGGGACAGTTTCACAGTTTCACATATGAGTGTCATATTATCCACAACATGAGCATGTTGAGATTAATGCTTCTACTTTTCTGGATTCTCAATCAGGAAGTCTACCTGTAATGGAAAGCTTGGTCCTCATCCTTGACACCAATCCTATAACAAAGACAAGGTCCTGAGAAAAGGGAAAAAGAAGGGTCATTGTTTTGCTAGCAAAGGAGAAACACAGGGGACTCCTATCTATCCTAAAGGCTGTGATTCTGCCCATCCTTAGGAACAGGGTTTTTTTATTAGAAGTGATTTAGAGAAAATGAGATTAGGAAGGGGAGATCAGAAAGAAGAAATTTAGGGAAAAGAGGACCAGGGAAGGAAAGTTTAGGGAAAAGAAGATTGAGAAAAAGAAAAAAAACATGTAAGTCTCAAAGTCACAAGGCATATAGTCAAAACATCGAGTGAACCCCTGTTACATATCCACCTGTGGCTTTCTTCCATTTAGAGAATGCTCAAGAAGGTCATTCTTGTGCTGACATCACTAGATATACATATTCAATATTTTTCCCTAACAAAATATATACTTCTAGTAGGCAATAGCATACAACTTCACCTAAAACATAACATTTTTTTCACTCAATTTTACCTTTTTGCTTCAATTTTCAAAAGACCAAACTTTATATAAACTTATCTAAGATTGCATCTTTGTGTGCTAATGAGACACAAGAATGTCCAACATATAGTAAGTATTGTTAAAGGGTCAATTCATCTAAAAAATAAATTCATAACTCATTTAAATATAAAATGTTTGAATATACATATAAATATTTAATGAGGGAACCAGTAAGATATTAAAATTAATTCAAAGAAAAATTTAAAAAAACATATGTGAATAAACAGTAGGGAATGCTGAAATAAGTTTACAAATATATGTAAATGTGGTCTATCCATAGGGCAGCAATGACTTATTTTCTCCCAGACATGTTTAGCTATTTTTTTTTTCAATCCAGTCTGGGAATTGGACCCATGGCTTTACACATACTAGGCAAGTGTTCTCACTGAGCTAGTTGATCCCCACCCCTTTTTATATTTTATTTTGAGACAGGCTTGCCAGACTGACCTTGAATTTCTGATCTGGATCCTCTTGCCTCAGCCTCCAGTCCAAGGATTATAGGCATATACAACCACACCCAGCTTTCACTTGAAATGTCTATGGATAAAAATCATCTGCATTATTATTAGCTTTCTGGAATCTAAAGAGTTGTAAATAGTTCAAAGATAATAAAAGGTGGTGATAACCAGGAAGGGTGTGTTAAACTAGACACCTGGTATGGTAAAATGGCCCTCATGATTTCCACCCCCATTGTTGTTCCCATGATTATTATGTTGCATGGCAACTGGGATTTTGTAGATGTAATTAAGGTTATTAATCAGTTGAGCTTAAAACTGGAAGATTATGCAAATGGACCTTACCTAATCACACAAGCCCTTCAAGAGCAGAGGTTTTTCTCCAGCTGGTAGCAGAGGGGTTTGAAGCATAACAAGAACTTGACAGGTCATTGATCACTTGAAGATGAACAGGGAGGGCTTGGGAAAAGGATCTGAGAATGTCCTCTTGTTGCTAGCAAGAAAGAAAACAAGGACCTTACTTAGACAACTGCATGGAACTAGATGCCACCCACAACCCAAATAAACTTGAAAGAGAATTTTTCACAAGAGTTTTCAGCTGAGTACTCAGACCAATTGACAATTATTTTAGCTTCCTTAGACCCTTAGCAGAGAATCCAGTGAGCTTATCCATTTTTTTCATTTTTTTTTTTTTTTTTTGGTGGTGTGGGGGATAATACTGGGGAATTGAATCCTGGAGCATTCTGCCTCTGAACTACATACCCAGCCCTTGTCTTGCTAAAGGTCTTGCTAATTGCAGGTGAATCACAAATTTACAATCCTCCTGCTTCAGCCTCTCTGGTAGCTGGGAATACATGTGTGCACCAGCCCAGCAATGAATGTTCTTTTAAGCTGCTAAATTTGTGGTAATTTGTCACATACCAATAAAAAGCTAATATACACATTAATCTCTTTTTCACATTCCACAAATATTTATTGCAAAAATTAATGTCTCTAAAATGTATAAAAAGAAAACAATTATCTACTCCCTGTAGAATTTCTCCTGAAGTTGGCATTTAATTTTTCTATCAGAAAATTTAAAGATTTAGAGACACCAGTCATAATGGGGAATAATTTGAAAGTGAAAAAAAATCTAAGTTTATTAGATTTACTATATATGAAATCCACTAAGGAAGCCACAGCCAGAGTCCACATTCCTCTGTACTTTCTGCCCATGGTTTTAAACTTCAGAAGCACTGCTTTTAAGAATAGCTGCCTATCCATTTTTCTAAACAGTGCCCTGCATTGTAAATACTTTTCTTTTTAGAAAAAAAGCACTTGCGAACATAGAGACATGGGCTCTCCTGGAGAGAAGGCAGCTTACTTTCTGTCACCTGCAGAGGCGCTGGAATGAAAGCATAATCATTTGTATTGAGCTTCTAAATCAAATGTGCCAGAGCTGAGGGTTTTCGCCAGGGATTGGCTGGCCTTTGGGAGCAGGAAAACAGAAAGAGGAAATGTCCATGTTTGAGCTGGCGTGTGCCATGCAATCTTTATCCAGCACTGACAAGTCTCTGCTGTTGGAAACCTGCAGCAGTCATGCAGCTGTCTATATTACTTACGGTGGGGCAAGGGAGTATGCTGTGTGCACTGGGGATGTTAAAGAATCAGAGAGAAGATTAGAGTTTTATAAATACATACATACATATTCTTAAAACCGAATATTTCAGTTGCATTTGACTTCTGAAGCTATGGTGTCAAATATATATATATAAAAATCAGGGGGATGTTTTAAGTTAATCTTAAAATTTTTGTTATTATATCTGCAACATATTGGGGCATTAGACTGCATCTTTTAAATAAGAGTTCTGTTTTGTTTTTGTTTTTGGTACCAGAAATTGAACCCAGGGGTGCTTAACCACTGAGCCACATCTCTAGGCTTTTTATATTTTATTTTGAAGCAGGATCTCACTAAGTTGCTTAGGGCCTCGCTAAATTGCTGAGGCTTGCTTTGAACTTGCGATCCTCCTATCTCAACCTCCAGAGCTGCTGGGATTATAGATGTGAACCACCAGGCTCTCCTTTTTTCTTTTAGGTAAATAAATAAAGGTAAAACATTCCACTGACTAATGCCCCCTCTGTCTCTTTCTCTCACACAGCCCCCTCGACCCCTTTCTATCCCTTCTTTTCTTTTTCTTACCCTTTCTAAAAAAATTATTCATTTATTTTATGTGGTGCTGAGGATCAAACTCAGTGCTTCACATGTGCCACAGCCCCAACCCTCTATCCCTTCTTTTTGCTAAGGTCTGGAAACTTTACTTTCTATCTCTTCCATATGCACAAAGCAATGTGGATGAGATAGAAGTGAATCTGAGTAAACATTTTTTACCTCAACACAGACAATAGTTTTATCCTTCCAAAATAAACCTAAGGAATTGCTCTGCCTTTTAATGCCAGGTTTTTAAATGCATACACTATAGTTGATACATGGAAACATGCCCAGTGCAGATACTATACATTCGCTGGTGCTCTTCAGTTTTTACTACTGTGTTCAAGAGAAGTTATGAACATCTATCATTTATACACATTTTAAAAATTGAAACATTAAGAAAGTCACTGGAGAAAATTTTTATTTCAAGAAATCCTGCATTGATTTATTTTATAGCACAGATAGTCATTCCCAGATATTATCTCCTTTGAAAGTATTATACATACAATAAACATTAAATCAGCAGAGAGGGGCAAAGTCAAAATTGAAAAACTAGAAATTGAAAGAAATTTTATCTTATTTTTTAAAATAGTGTTTAGGAAAAATTCAACTGAGTAATTTTAGTGGAGTGAATTATTTTTATTTGTTATTCAACGAGATGAAGATACATACACACACAGATAGATATAGGTATCTGAACCTTCCTTGTACTCTAAATTGTTTTGTTTTATTTATTCATTTATTTATTAATCTGTACTGGGGATTGAAGTTGGGAGTACTCTACAACTGACCCACATCCCTGCCCTTTTTATTTTTTGAGACAGGGTCTAGCTAAGTTGCTGAGGCTGACCTTGAACTTGTGATCCTCCTGCCTCAGCCTCTTGAATCACTGGACCAGCCCATCTCAAAAGGTTCAACTTAAAATTTGAGGGGCTAGAGGTATACAGCTCAGTTGTAGAGCACATGCTTAGAAAGTGCCAGGCCCAGGTTAAGTCCCTGGCACCCCAACCCCCCTCACCCCTGCTGCCACCAAAATAAGAGAAAATAAAATTTGGAATCCTTAGCAAGAATACCTAGTTCTCACCAGTTGCAATGATGCTGAGTTAGAAGATAAGCAAGAAAGAAAATATAATATGTTTATCTAGGTCTAGATAATATGTTTATCTAGCTGTCTAGCTAGAGCAGAAAAATTTCTAAGTTGCTCATGTGAAGAAGACTAAAATTAATTTTATGCATTTTGTATATGGTATTATGTTATTTTACTTGAACTTAGAAATATGATTTGCCTCATGCAGAAAAAAAAATAATTCAGGTCCTTCTGTGTGTATTAGTTTCCTATTGGGACCCAAACAAGTCACCACAAGGTTAGAGGTATAAAACAGCACAAACTTGTTATCTTAGAGTCATGGAGGTAAGAAGCCCAAATCATCTGCACTGAGCTAAAATCCAAGTGTCTCCTTGCCTTCTCTGGCTTCTAGAAGCAGGTTGCATGACCCCCTTCTAGCCATAGCATTGCACCTACCTCTGCTTCTATCATCACATCTCCTCTTTGCTCCTGTCTCCCTCTTACTAGGGCTCTTGTGATTACATTGGCCCACCCTAATAATCCAGGATATTTCTCCCATTTCAAAATCCTTAATTTAATCACATTTGCAATGATCCTTTTGCTATGTAAGTATGTTTTCAGAATTAGGACCTGAAAAATTTGGGGGGGGCACATTATTCTACCACAATCTAGTCTATTAATATCAAATATATTGCATTCTTATTCTCAGTGCAAAATCTAAATGGTTAAAGTCCTGTCTGGGAAGAAAAATAGTCTATAATGATGTTTACTTTGCATTTATTGAGCACGTTCTATATCCTAGGTACTCTGCTGCTCTGTGTATATCTGCAGATTTAATCCCTATAACAGATCTAGTAATTTTATCACATTATATTTGGGAATAGATTGAAATACAGAGTGCTTAATTACTTGTTCAAGATTCCAAAGCCAGCTGGATGCCATTTGTGCACACCTGTAATCCCAAAAGTTGGGGAGGCTGCGGCAGAAGAATCACAAATTCAAGGTCAGTTTTGGCAATTTAGTAGGGGCTCTGGGCGCTGTGGCTCATGCCTGTAATCTCAGTTATTTAGGAGGCTGAGGCAGGAGGATGGCGAGTTCAAAGCCAGCCCCAGCAAAAGCAAGGCGCTAAGAAATTCAGTGAGATTCTGTTTCTAAATAAAATGCAAAAAAAAAAAAAAAATAGGGCTGGGAATGTGGCTCAGTGGTCAAGTGCCCCTGAGTTCAATCCTAGTACCCCTCCACTAAAAATAAATAATAAATAAAAGGGCTAGGGACATAGCTCAGTGGTAGAGTTCTTCTGGACTCAATCCCCAGTACCATACACACAAAAAGATTCCAAAGCCACCAAGTTCCAGGGTCAGAATTTATTCTGCTAACCCCTTTCTATTCCATATCTCAAGAAATTAACAATCTACATGATTTTCACATGCATAATAAGGTATACTCACTTTCACAATACATTTAATTACTACTAAAATATGGTCACACAAATTAGTCATTAAACTTAAGGTGATGCCTCTTCTTGGAAGGTTGCCATTGCCTGTACTGACAAGGTACATCAGTAATTGATTAATTAATTAATTAATTTGGTACTGGTGATTGACCTCAGGGTGCTTAACCCACTGAGTCACATACCCAGCTATTTTTACTTTTTATTTAGAGACAGGGTCTCACTAAGTTGCTTAAGGTCTCACTAAATTGCCAAGGCTGGCCTCAAACCTGTGATCTTCCTGCCTCAGCCTCCCAAATTGTTGGATATAGGCATGTGTCAGTATACCTGGCAGTAATTAATGTCATTAAATCAACTCTCTGCAGTTTAAATATGTTCACTGCAGCACTATTCACAGGAGCCAAGAAATAGAATCAAGTTACATGTCCTGTAGCAGATAAATAGACAAAGAAAATGTGTTGTATATATGATTCAAAACTATTCATGCCCCCAAAAGAAGGAAAGCCTGTTATTTGTGACAATTTAGAGGATATTATGCTATGAGTAGTCAGGGAGAGAAAGACAAATATGCATGATCTCACTTATACGTGGGATCTAAAAAAATTCAAATTCCTAGAAGCAGAATGGTGGTTACCAGAGATTGACAGGAAGGGAGGTAAAAAAAATCTTGGTCAAAGCAGTTTCAGTTTGAAAGGATGACTGAGTTCTAGAGAGCTAGCATACAGCACGGTGACTGTAATTAACAATAATAATGGGTTATAGACTTGAAAACTGATTTTAAAATGTAGA